CCTTTTTTATCCAACAAATCTTCATTTATTCTCCAAAGAAAGGATTTATTCCTTTCAGTAGAGGTCCACAAAACAGGGTTGTGATCCGAGTTACATCTAGGCAGGATTTCTATTTTTTGTGTTTTCATTGACAATTCTTCTGACATCCAAATCATATCAATTCTGGAAAAAGAGCAATGTCTATTGGAATAAAAAGTAAAATCTTTCTGCGTTGGGTTCCATTTCCTCCACACATCTTCTAGTTTTTCCTGTTTGACTAGTTCAAAAAAGTTCTTTGGCAATTTTCCACTAATTTCGTTGCCTTTTTGTGATTGTCTATCCAGCCGATCTATAGTTCCATTAAAGTCTCCGGCCAAAATAACTTGATCATAAGTTTGTCCTTGTAGGTGTTCAGTTAAGTCCTTAAAGAACTTTTCTTTTGCTCCATTGGGTGCGTATATATTGACCACCAGTGTCTTTTTCTGTTGAATCATCACTTCCACACCCACATATCTTCCTTCCAAATCTTTGAAAATTTCTTTAGGTTGTAAATCCTTTTTCACATATATCACCACACCTTTTTTCTTATTTAAGGCCGAGGAATAAAATTCTAATCCCAATTTAACATTTTTTAAATATTTGGCATCCAGTTTTCTAATATGAGTTTCTTGCAAGCATATCAAGTTACAATTTTGTTTTTGTATCCAATAATTGATTCTTTTCCTCTTGTTAGGTGAATTTAATCCATTCACGTTCCATGACAACAATTTGTAATCCATTGTAGATTCTTAATTTAAAGTTCTCCAAAGACGTCAGAATTGTCCGCCTTAAATTTATAAAAATCCGTCACCGACCTGATCTGGACTCTCCCACCTTTGTAAGTAAAGGATAAGCCTTGTGGAATTTCCCATCTGTACCTAATATTCAAAGTCCTCAGTTTATCCACCAAAGGCTTATACCTTTTTCTGTCTTGCAGTACTGCTCGGGGGAGTTCTCTCATCACCATAATCTTGTTTCCTTCCATTTCAAAAGGGACGGTGAATTGTTTCTTAAAAATATCTTCTGTAGTTGTTCTTGTTACAAATTGTACAATAACATCTCTTGGTAAATTTTTCTTTTCTGCAATTCTGGAGTTCACTCTGTATATCAAATCAAAATCAGAGTCCATTGTCCCTTCATCTTCTTCCAAATATGATGTTATTGCCTTCATCATTTCATCTCTTATATCTTCATTTTCCTTCTCTTTAATGCCCCTGAATCTCAGATGGGTTTGCATCCTTCTGAACTCCATCATTGTTTCTGATCTTCTAAATTGCTGAGTCAAAGAATCCTGTTTTTCTTCCACTTGTTGCATCTTCTCTTCCACTTCCGTAGTTTTGGTTGCATTAGCCTGAATCTCCTTTTTGACTCCTTCTATTTCTTGCTTGATTGAAGTTATCTCAGTAGTGACCAAATCTTTAATTGCCGCTATGTTCTTCTCCTGAACCTCTTCAAGTTGTTTCAGATGAATCTGAGTCTGCTTTGCCATTTGTGCCTCCAGTTGCTTTTCAATCTGTTCCCCCATCCTTTTTTCACTTTGTTCTCCCATAGCTTGTATTGCTTCCAGCATCCTTTTCTCCATTGCCTCCATGGCAGCATACATCTCTTTCTTATCCTTCTCCCTCTCTTTTGACATCTTGGGGGTTGGTGTCAGCCTAGTTGGTGTTGAATTAGTTCTTGGTCTCACTTTTGGCTTAACGTCAGGATCAGAGTCAGCTCTTTTCGGTCCTCTTCTGGTCTCCGTTTTGGTGCTTTTCCTGCGGTGCGCAAATTCACAAACAAACAGTCTCTTCTAAAGGGTAGCCTTCAATCAGCCATTCCCTTCTATTTTCGCTTTTAAAAACCCTCTAAAAGAAGTTTAAAGTCAAATTTAAAGTCAGGTCCTCCTCAAAATGTCGGGCGCAACTTCTCTATGGTATTCGGGTATAGAGTAGGTCAGGTTACCGTATTCCAGGTCCCGTCTGTTCGTATACACTCACTTCCGGTTCTGCTCTCTTGTAGCTCCGAGTCTCTTCCTGTTGGCTTCCTGTTGGCTTCAGCCCTTCTTTCAGGGCTTCCTCTTCCTGTTCCAGCACCTCGGAGTATTTTTTTCGTTACACCGGCCTGCTCCTCCCGCGATACAGTTCGTCAGTTTCGGTTTTCGGCTGCGCACATATCTCAATTCCCACCGCAGGAATGTTAAACAATGTTCTTTTTTACTGTTTTAAAGCCTTCAATCAACTATTTTCTTTGCCGGAATCGGATTTCTGGGAATGTTTGGTCATTTCCCGCTCAACCGCTTGTTTCAATTTTTATCTTATCACAGTTCAGGTAAGCGGCACGTTTATTGTTATCTAGCACGATCAAATCGGGTTTCGCATTGCTTCTTTTCACTTACTGTTGTTGCCCATCTTCAAGAGGTCGGCTGGTAGAGAGCTTAAACCGGTAATCCGGCTCGAACGGCCGCTGCAGAGTTGCTTGGCACTTGCCTTCTTCGGGGGAGGAGATCAAAGCATGAAACGGCTCCTTCGGGAGCCGGATCACGCCAACCTCACACTCCCTCTTAGGCGCTGCTGCCTGCTTGTCCCCCCCCCTCCCTGGGGAGCGATGCGTTGGGCTAAAAACTGCCCAAGCTGTCAAAAGCGGCCGTCGCTCACTTCGCACAATCGCGAAAGTGTGTCAGTCCTCCATCTTAGCCCGACCGGAAGCCTGCTCTCTGCACTCCTAAACTGACAACTGAAATGTTGTAACTGTACAAGCCCAGCATATACTGTGGGTTATACTTGTATACAGTTCCAAACCTCATTACTGAACCACAACCTTATTCCAACCAAGGAAGTTAATAAAGGTTGTCCCCTCCTCAATTTACCTCAAACCTCATCAGAAATAGCTACAATTAAACATCACTGGGGTTCAGTCTATCAGGCAGAGGTTAGGATAGGGTGCACTGGTCAAACAACACATCATGTTATTTCTATTTGAATGTTATTTATGACCCCAGCCTTCATAGAAGGAAGCTGCCTTCAGTCAATCCGGTGAAAAACCTACATCAGGTAACAGACAGGGGAAAGTGCTCTGGATATCTAAGGAGTCTCTGGTAGCACTAACTATGATGTCCTTCTGGACCATGTGTCAGGGAAACTGGGGGGGGGGGGCATTGTTTTGCAGTGGCTCTTGTTCCTGGTAGAAATGCCTCTGAGGTGATGGAGAAAGATAATGAGCCTGGCCTTTTGCCTACCAGGTTCTATAGTGTCCTATCTGGCTTCCCATGCTATTTAACAATTTCATTAAACCACACTAGAAGATCTTGTGGACATTTGGAAAGCAGCACATCAATATGCAGATGACTCTATTCTCATCTCTCATCTCCATCCAATTCTGGAAATCCTGAATGGGTATTTGAAGCTACTGAGGGACTGAATGTGGGCAAATAAACTGAAATGTAATCCAGGTGAGAGGGAAACACTGTTTGTATGGTATTAAATATATGACTTGTTTTGGATGTGAACCCCTGAAGGGCAAGATTTGCAGACAATGCACTTGGATATGGTTGTGTACAAACAGACTGCCAGGAGTACAATTTAATTTTAAAAAAAAAGAGGTACCGATACTTATATATAAGGTTGTACCAATTTCTAACAGATCCCCCGCCAAGACTAGGGACAGCCCCCCCCCCCAGATACTAGTACTCAGTACCACCACACATACAAAAATCCCTGGATTGGAGCATCTTCTGCCAGTTCACATGTCACAGCTTTTCCTAGAGCAACAGATCTAGCCACATTTAGACACACCTTGGTAATACTCAATATCTCCAGGTAAAAGAATCAGGTGATGCAAAAGATCTCCACCTGAGACCCTGAAGAGCCACTACCAATCAAAGTAGACAACACTGAGCCTAGTATACTAAAGGACTGTCTCAAAGCAGCTTCATGAGTTCAACTGATGTGATTAGTCTTCATGTTCAAACTGAGACAAATGAGATTAGTGTGCACTTGGATCAGGCCCGTGTCAGTGATTATGCCTCAGGAGGCTTACCTGGTCTCCTCACTCCCTACCTTCCAGTGTTTTATTAAAACCTTCCTACTTTGGAAACCATTTGAGGGGGGGATAAATTTCTGGCTTTTTGGATGTCGCTTTTCCTTTTTGTTTGTATGGTTACCTTTTATTATTTGCCAATGCTGCCATTTTTAGATTTTACTATAATAATAAATAAATCGGGTTTTCATTAAATCCTAATTAGTTCCTTAATGAGTTCCTTTGTGGTAAACAGGGGGTGCGGGATAATGCATGGATAAGGAGCTAATCCAGTATTCATTTTCAAACAGAAGCAAATTATTTGGATTGAGTTGTTTGGCTTTAATGGAATCCTTGCAAACAGGCTTTCAAGAGGCAACCGTAAAAGGCCTTTTCTACTCACCTGGGTGCTCTTCTCCCTACAGTTCCTTATAGTACACAGTGAAAGCACAGCATTGCAAAGCTGGTGTTCTTCCTGGCACAGCGTGTCCTGCCCTATATTGATAGCATTGGGTAGGCATGGCAGACTTGGAAAGTGGCCCCTTTCTTCAAGAAAGAGCCAAGCTAAATACAGCTTTCCAATCCATAGGTGGGAAGAAAGCACAGAGACCTATCCTACCACAGCTTCCTTGTATACTGGTCCCTTCTTCCCTTTTTAAAATGAAGCACTCATTTCTACGGCCAAGGTTGACAGTTAGCCAGAGAAGCAACAATGTCAACAGGTAACACTCCAAGTAAAATGGGTATAACTGATATAATGGTGGAGCAGCATCAAAAGTAAATGTGGTTTGGCCTTTCCTCCCTGATGTGGCATAAAATGGCACCCGTAGGGCTCAGCAAGTATATATACACATTAAAATTCTAAAATCTCACAATTTTATTTCATTTCTATTACCACCTTAACACATCCAGGGGGAAAATAATTCAATAACATTCAAGGACACGTAACGTTTTTAAAAGACACAAGAAGAAAACAAGCGTTTTACCTCTCTTAAAACCGTACTTTTATAACCTCGATAAAGTCCAAGAATACCCTGCAAATCAACAAAAGAAAGCTTCATCTATCAGGAATTATGTTAGCCAAGACTGCAATTTACTGATGATTACATGGCAGGTATTACAGCTTTACTGAGTGTAATGCCCAGGCTTCTAACAAATTGACAATATTGATCATAAACACACTATATATTGCCATCCTAGCTTTACCAACACGGGAGAGCTTTATCCTCACTTTCAAAACTTGTTTAACAGCTACTAAAAGTAATCAGTTACAGTTACACATTGAGGGGATAATATATCTCATTATTTTGTTAGAAAAACAGGAAGAGACAGAAGTGAGAGAGCTTGTTCTTGCCATCCTCAATATCTGAAAAGCATAGCTAACATCTAGAATCATCAGCTATTCTGAAGATACATAGAGGCAACTGAGATTTTGAGGCTGGAAGCCATCTGAAATCAAGTTCATCTACAGGCACTCTTCCTAAGTAAGGAAAACTGTTTCACTGGTCTTTTAAAGTGGGCAACAGCACATTTTAAAATACATTGGTATGTATTCCGTCATACTCATGCCTGCTGGTGATTAATTATATGTTTTTATTTAAAAAGGAAGAAATAAAAATGGGCTGCTTTAGGTGTCCTCTTTACTATCAGTAGATCTATCTCCAATTAAAATAGCAACTGGAAGCTCAAAGAATGGTCCGGGCCACGTTGGGAGTAGGTGATGGCCCCTTACTCTGATGATCTAGTCCAGGGGTGACCAAACTGCAGCTCGGAAGCCGCATGTGGCTCTTTCACACAGTCTAATTTAATGTTAATAAAAAACAAATTTGCGTATTTTTCAATAAAACCGTGTGTGTGATATTTGTTCATGTCTTGTGGCTCTTAAACATCTGACGTTTATTCTGTGGGGCTGTTATGTTAAGCAAGTTTGGTCACCCCTGATCTAGCCAAAGAGCCGGCCAAGCCCGGAAATTTTTAATGGTCAGGTCTTATCACATGACCTGCTCTATCAATGTTCTGTTGAGTTTTCTTGCAGGTCTGGCTAGTCACGCTTCCGTTCCCTTTGTCCAACACTCAGTGGCAGTACACAGGTTAGCTCACTGCCTGATGCTATAAAGTCATATGCTTGCACTCGTCACTGGTCCCTTCTGTAAATAAAATGTCAACATGACAAACATCCATTTCCTTAGCTGTACACCAGCACCTCAAGACACTGCCATGTATAAGTTTTGCATTCATCAGAATTTTAGTCACAAGACTGACTCCCAAACTTTCTAATCTGCAAATGAATACATGGAAAGTATCCCTTAGCTCAGGGCTCCCTCAAAATTTGCTTGTTGCCACATGGAGATGATCTACATGTGTATTTTGTTGCACTCACAGTGAATGGAAGCAGCTTTGGACCCTGGCTTTCCAAAACGTGCTATTTTCATTAACACAGAAATTTACTCCGGAGATGAATATTTAAGATGACACCCTCTCTGGCCATCTAGAGCCATGTTTCCTATATTCCCTCACATATAAGCAGGTGTAAGTATATAGTAACCCAGGTGTAAGTATATAGTACTTACATATACTTAGTACTTACATATACATAGTATATAGTACTTACATATACCCAGTACAATCCACGAAAGGGACTGTCATGGAAGAGTGGAGGGACATTAAACTCCGTAACAGTCAACTCATGTTGTCACTGAATTCACAGCTGCTCCATTGGCTTGCAATTTACCCAGGTACGCCTCACCTCGATTCTTTCTCAGAAGGTTTTCAGCAGCATAACAGGCCGCTATTCAAGCATCTGGATGATAACTCAAACAATCGCAGATTCAATCCTCAGCACTTTACTCAGTGACTTTAAGCCAGCTTTCGTACTTCTATTTCAGAAGCAGGGAAGTAGTCACAACTTATTTCTGGTCTTGTCGTGATGACTGTACCCTGCTGACTTTCTCTCCCCTCCCCCCCAAATCTGAACACACTACCACGGACACTGCAACTAGTAACTTCAGAGACTTCAGCACAATGGCTATCTAGGGTAGCATGAACCTAGGAATTCCTCTGAGCGGAATGGCGACACCACTTGGAAGTTTGAAGAGAGAGGCAAGAAGAAGAACTCAGAGGACTGAATTTGTTTCCAGGCTAAATGAACATCTACCACTCCCACAGCATTCAAGATTCACAGGCTCTCCTTAACTAAAACAGTACTTCTCAGATCTCACCTCTTCACATACAGTGTTGGAAAGGATCCGTAAGGTACTAGAAGTGGGAGAAACTTGAGCTCTTTGTTTCACAACTTCAGATGGAACCCGTATTAAACACGCAACCTGAAAAAGAAGCAGAAGACTTGCGTAAGATGCGCATATATTCCACATGCTTCTAGAAGCATCAACAGTTCCTGCTGTCTATTGCCTTTGATTTTTTTAACAAAGTACGACATACAACTGTAAGCCTTGAGAGGAACATGCATATCTGTCAAGCCTTCCATTCAGAAAGCAAACACTGATTCTGATAAAGGAATTACGATATACACCCTTGCAGTATTAAGAACGTACTCTGATAGCTTTGTATCTGGACCTACTTCCAGGCAGCACTTTCTTTCTCAACGATAACAAAGGTAAGCAGCACCATCTAGTGACCACCAGTGATTGTACGTGCATGAATGAGAGACGGAAAATGAGACCACGCAAATGCATATAATGGCCAAACTAATTTTTGCTGAAACGGTTTTCAGCTCCACCAGGAAAGAGGCCTCAAGGCTGCCAGGTGCAATATACATCTCCAAGCCTCCTCTACGTAATAGCCTGACAGCAACTATACTGAATTGTAGCAACGATTAACACTAGGAATGCTACACCAAAGGTTATATACATTGTATAAATACAGACCAGGATCACAGAATACAACACCCCCTGGCATTGCGTAACTGGACATATTGGAGGAGTGTCCATGTTCACAGTTCAGGGGGCAAAATATCAGAAGCTGATCCTCTTGAGCAAAAGCATTGTGCTTCCCATTAAAAACCAAATGCTATTCCAAGGAAAATACAGAATAAAATCAGTTAAGGCACATGGTGCAGAGTTGTTTTCTGTTGTCCCAGAAGGTCGGACCAGAACCAATGGGTTGAAATTAAATCAAAGGAGTTTTCAGCTAAACATTAGGAAGAACTTCCTGACAGAGCAGTTCCTCAGTGGAACAGGCTTTCTCGGGAGCTGGTGGGCTCTCCTTCTTTAGAGGTTTTCAGACAGAGGCTAGATGGCCCTCTGACAGCAATGCTGATTCTGTGATCTGAGGCAGACCATGAGAGGGAGGGCAGGAAGCACTGTTCCCTCTAAGCTGAGTTAGTGTGAGCTAGCTCACGGTTCTTTAGCCTCCGGCTCACACATTTTTGTCTCCGCTCAGGAAGGATGGCTCCAGAGCAGACTAATTTATGCAGTAGCCAAATCGCTTGCTCACAACTTTAATGCCAGTAGTTCACAAAATAGAATTTTTGCTCACAAGACTCCACAGCTTAGAGGGAGCATTGGCAGGAAGGGTTGCCTCAGTGCTTAGTTCTCGTGGCCCTTTCTTACACACCCAGAGAAATGCTGATCACCACTTTGGGGTCAGGAAGCAATTTTTCTCCAGGCCAGTTTGGCCAGGGATCCTGGAGGACATAGAGCAGGGGTCACTGGGGATGAGAGTGAAGGTATTTGTGAATTTCCTGCATTGTGCAGGGGGTTGGACTAGATGACCCTGGAGGCCCCTTCCAACTCAATGGTTCTATGATGCCTTCTCTTCCTCTCTGCCCTGTCCTTCCATTACATAGCCCAATGCTCAGCATGTTAATGTTCACTAAGTTCAACGGAGCTTAGTCACAAAAGATATAGACGGAATTGCAGCCTCAAACTGTAAGCCCAACAGCGTAGAGAGAGCACCAATTAAGTGTTCAGTACAGAGCCAATTACGTACTTATGAATCATATCTGAAAGGCGTTTTGACTCTTGAAAGCTTATACCCCTGAAAAGCTTGTTGTTCTTTACAAGACTCAAATCTAGCCGTTCTACTACAGGTCAACACGGCTACCCACTGAAACTATACTAAAGAAATGTTAGCTCACAGTAAAATCAGCTGCATAAATTTAGCATACAGGTGTATAAATCCAGAAAAGGGGATGCTGAAGGGAAAAAGCAAGTGGTAGCATGGTGTTGAAAAGAACAGTGAGAAAGTAGGGGAATCATGCAGGCTCCGACATTCCTAATTCTCTCTCTCTCTCTCTGCTTCCAAAATAACAAAAAAAAGAAAGAACCCTTTCATTCAACAAGATCTAATGGTATAAATGGCATTATCATGCATTTCCCTACCTCACCTGAGGATAACAAGACAGTAAGGAATTCTAGGGGGAAAGCAACTGCTACACACAGCTGCCCAACGTTATCATCAATATTCTGGTAGAAGGAAATGATTAGATGAGAGCAACATCTATCCAGTTCCGGGAACATCCGAGGCAAATATAATAACACTTTTTTCAAGTATTTTCCCAGCTAAGCAAAGAACAGCAGGGGCTTTGCTGAACATTTTATAACTTATGAAGTTTCAGGATATAGGAGAAGATTTTATTTCTATAAACACTCCAGGCTCCCAGGCCTGAATAAGCCCAGTTTAGCCTGAGCTTGGAAGCTAAGCAGGGATCAGCCACGGTTACTACTTGGAAAAGAGACCACCAAGGAAGACTTGGGTTGCTATGCAGATGAAGGCAACAGCACCACCTCTGCTTGTCTCTTGCCTGAAATGCCTGGTGGATGGGGTCGCTATGAGTTGGTTGTGACCCAATGGCATGGTCTTCTTCTTCCACGTTTCTGGACTGTGTCCTCTGTACATGTTCGAATACTGAGAGAAAATATCTAGCTATACCAGTTGGCACCATCATCTCTAATAAGCACTGAACAAGCACACTGCCATTACAGAGCTCCAGTAGGAGGCGATCTTGGAGGATGGTTTGTTATCAAAATGGAAATGGAGATGAAATACCAAACCCAGAACAATTTAAGGGCAGATCTGTATGAAAGGGTAGAAGTTCCGTGAGTGGAGCTTACAGCACTTCTTTTCTTTAGAAAAAAAATCACACATGGCATGGGGCAGGAGACTTCAAAAAGGACAACAACAGTGCAACAACGTCCTCCCCACACCATTTTCCTGATCTGAAACAGCCCCAAAGAGCCACTATTTTCCCCTTAATGTTCAGTACCTGTATGTTTGCCCAAGAAGAAAATAAGCCTTCCTTTCACTACCCCTTTCCCAATCTGAAATGTCCAGGATGCCTAACAGCACCTCATACCTTGTCACACCCCAATTAGAAGGGGCGGGGGAGATACATGATTTTTAAAGATTTTTGTTTGGAGTGCCATTCACAGAACTTCCAGGGTCCTATGCAGCTGAGCCTGAAGTCATGCATACTGGCAATATACAATAAGCCCAAGCTGAACAACAACAGAACATCACTGGTGGTCACCTACAACTCACAACTCAAGCCAGTTCAACGCATTGTTAGTGACCTGCAACCCATGCTAGATCGTGACACTTCCCTCACACAGGCACTGGGGGCGCAACCTTTTCTTGCTTACAGAAAGCCTGCTAATCTAAAACAAATTGTCACCCACAATGACAAACTACTTAACAGTAACATGGACTCTGGTAACAAGGCCTGCAAAATACTCAAACACCAACTTTGCTCTCATATAGATCCTAGCAACACCATCAGTGGACCCAGCAACATCAGCCGTACCATCTCAGGTTCATATTTCTGCTCATCCTCTAATGTGATTTATGCCATCATGTGTCAACAATGCCCTTCCACCCTCTACATTGGACAAACAGGTCAGATCCTTCAACAAAGAATTAATGGACATAAGTCTCACATTAGGAATCACAATATTCAAAACCCAGGGGGGGACATTTCAACCTTCCAGGATGTTCAGTTGCTGACCTAAAAGGAGCAGTTCTCTTACAAAGGAATTTCAAAAGTAGATTAGAGAGACTGCTGAATTGCAACTGACAACAAAGCTCAAGACAATGCATCTACCTGGACTGAATCAAGACCTCGGTTTCCTGTCTCATTACCAATGCTGATATCTTCAGGCCTGTTACCCCTCTGCATATCTCATCTAAATCCACTGCTATTGTCATTCAGCTGCTATTGTTATTTGCCTGCTAGTGTCATTCGGCATCTGAAATCACTCCACTTTCCAATAAATTGGACAGTGGGACTTCCATTCTAGCTGTATCTGAAGCAGTGACTCACGAAAGATCATACTCTGCCACACATTTTGTTAGTCTTTAAGGTGCTACTGAACTCTTGCTCTTTTCTAGGACAATATACGATAGGACTATAGCAATTTAAGATTTAAGTTGATACTTTATACTGTCAGCTTGACTAGAAGAAGATGTTATAGTAGTAAAAGAAATAAATCTGTTACAGACCAATCCAGTTCATTTACTCTGAAACAAGCCCCACTGAGTTCAACTGGATCTGCCCACATTATGAAAAGGATTGCCTGCAGCCTTCATATTTTAGAAACCCTATGTTAGTAGGCCTATACCATGGAGTACAGATTGGCCAGAAAGTTGTAGGATCTTATTTATTAGTCTGGACAGCTTTGTTTGGAAAGTCTGAAGCATCTGAAAAACGAAGCCAATTTATAAACTTGTCAAGAGGCAGCAAGATATCCAAATGTCATCCTGAAAAGGTACAAACTAGTGTGTTCTCTTCAGTCCCAGTGGTCAAAAAGAACAAAATGACCCCAATATGGCTGAGAAAATAAGAACAATCAACTCTTTTATTGTAGCTTGGCATAAATATTTATAGAACTTCACACTTCATAACACACAATGTCCTTACATTAGAGGGTTTTTTAAAAAAATATTATTCCTTAATACTGGAGGAAAAAAGACTTCAGAAATATTTCAGATGAAAAACAATCTAGCCTACCAAGGGGATCCAAAGCACCCACTGTGGCTTCCTGACTTCTGTGGCGTTGCAATTTTGGCATGAGAGCAGAAGCTACAAAGCAATACGTCGCTCTCTATTTTCGCCCAGACACTTGCGGTGCCTTCCATTTTGTTTCATATTACACTTTGATGTCTTCTGGATTTGAATTTGAGCTACAAGGGAATATTTCACTGCACAGGAACAAAATAAAAGAGCCTCGCTCCATAGCGGTATGAAAGCTAATGTCATTCCAAAGGTCTGTTCTCAGGTTGGTTGTATAGGGCACCATTTTGTCATAGGCATCCACAGTTTCATTGTGTGTCTGAACGTATGACGGTATATTAGTTTCGCGTACGCAAC